CATAGAGCTCAATATTCATCGTAACGAATGTTCACATCATGTTGTCGGCAATAATTTAATGTTAATTTTGCCTGCCTGAACATTTACCTAAAATAGGAAGAACTTCTTTAGAATGCAGTGCAGTAACAACTCAGGTCGTACCTAGTTAAACTGGATTGCAGGTGATTAGTGAATAAGATGCGGGTTTTTTGCACTGAAATATTGTGGCACAACTGTTCAGTAAATCCAATCTTTTGTCTTTTTGACTGCATAGCGGTCTATGTAATAGTTGATCATGTGGGCATGTATGGCTGTTTAAATATAACAATATAATATATTGTTTTATATATATATATATATATATATATATATACACACACTGTATATATTGTATTTGAAGTGTTTTTTTAAATTAATTTTAGTAATTAATTTTAATTATAATGCCCATGTTCTGGAATTGAATTGTTTTTTTAAAGGCATGTAAAATTATTTTCTGAATGGCCTAAAGTTGACTAGGTTTTAGAACAGCCCTTTCTTTCTCTTTGACCTACCATTCTTCTTCATGGTCTTTCACACATCTCCACCTCTCTCTTTCTTCTTCTCTATTGAACCTGTCTGCTCTGCATGTTCCTCCTCCTGGCTGTAGGAACATGTGCCGTGTCCGTAATAAGTGAGTGTGCCTGAGAAATGACAGGGTTAGAGCTCACTAATGCACTCAGAGTTGCACCCTTCTATACTGAAAACCACCAGAGAGGGAGGGAGATGGACAGAGAAAGAGAGGGTCCTCACTACTCTATAACTGATTGAGGTAATAGGCCTTTGTAATTGTTCAGATTGTCACTTGCCCTTTTCGGCAGAAGTAAGTGGTTGGAAAAGGGAGAGAAACGGCCCTTGGGTTTGTCCTCACCTCCCACTGAGGAGCACGGGCAGATATTTTAAACTTTTCAGAAAAATACTCTTCCCTCTCCAAAGACAAAAGAAGTGCTGAACTAACCCATTTGAAAGGATCTTAAAAGCCAAATTGGTGGGTGTCAGTGATCCAGAATTTCCCGCAGACTCTATTTGAGCTTTCACAGGCCATTATTTTAAGTGATTTTGAGATGTAATTAGTTTGGACGCAACAGTTCTTTTGGATAATTATTGCCGTTTTATTCCAGCATTTAGGTGGTCATCTTAACTAATGGAAGTTTAATCACCACTAAATATCCAGTACATTACCCAGCCTGAATCCCACGTTTTTTTTTTTTTTTTTTCATTCAAACTAGCCAGAATCTTAAAAATAATATATTGCTAATAACTTCCAACAAATACTGTCAGCATTTTTTGTTTTAATACATCAATTTTGGCTGATACTAATGATCATATTGTTTCATATACTGATAACATGACGTCTGATATTATACATTTGCACACTGTTGCTTTGTTAAATAAAACACTGATATACAATCACAGCGAATCATATCTCAAAATACTGTAAACCCTGACAGAGTGTTCAGCGGAGGTCTTGTATCACCCTGAATGGATTTATTTTGTGACTGCATTTGACTAACTATACATTATCCTGCTTTTTGCATCAGCTATTTGCAAAATTAATACATATGTGGACGTGAAATATTAATTTGAGTTGAAATGGTATTTTATTCTCACTTGTATATTAAAGGGATAGTTCACTCAAAAATGTAAATTCTGTCATTATTTACTCACCCTTATGTCATTGCAAACCGTTATGACTACTTTCTTCTGCTGAATATAAAAGAAGATATTTAAAAAAAATGTTGGCAACCAAACCTTCCATTGTATTGGGGGGAAAAAACATATTTTATGTATTACAGAAAAAAGTCACAGGTTTGGAGCGACATGAGGGTGAGTAAAATGATGCTAGAATTTTGCGATAGTGCCTTTATTGACCAGTACCAAAATGGTCTTAAATGTATTGTGCATCCCTCATTATCAGTTATTTTCAAAACCAAGTCTGTTTTTTCAGGTTTACATCTCCTGTAAGCTTTTCTGCTCTATGATCTGTCACATGCATGTTTATTTGTCTGTCTGTGCCATCATTAGAACAGTCGTCCTCTGGGGAGATCTCAGCGACTGCTAATTGCTCTGGGAGTATTTTTTTGAATCTTGAACCCTGTGGGTTTAATAGTCACCAAGAAGTGATACTTTAAATGTATCACTTGTTGGAGCTGTGATGCCTCTCTTCCTGTGGGAGGTGTGTGAAGTTTGTGTGTGTTCGATTGTAAATAACACCATGGTTTCTGTGAGGAATTGGTTATATATTGTTGAAAGAGGTTCTTACCGTCTTTGCTCGTGGGTCATCTGCTGTGTCGATAGGAATAGACAATTATCCATACAAATCTGGTAAACTTTGATCTTTGACTCTTCTTTGTTCAACTGAATAAGGTTTAAATTAATAATTTTTAATCACCCTTAATCATTTTGCCATTGATTCCCCATACATGTTAGCCTAAATTAAATCTCTCTAATTAATCTGTCAGGTATCATTAAAAATATCTTCATTGATGATTTGAAGATGAACGAAAGTCTTATAGGTTTGAAATGACATGAGGGTGAGCAAATTATGACTTGAATTTAATTAATAGTTAATGTTTACCACATACTAAATGGAGAAGTCCAACAGATCTGCACTGAATGTAATAATGTAATAGGTGTACATTTGAAACGATGCTGCTTATAGTCTGATAACTGTCATCAGCTTGATTGAGTAATGGGAGCAGATGTCTTCTTTTTGAAAACAGGTGTATGTGATGTTTGCCTTGTTTAAAACGATGAAACACAAGCAAACTCTCAAAACCCTCTCAGCATGTGGTGCGTATCCCATCATACCCTCCAGTGTGTTTGCTTCCCCTCTTGGCTCTGTCAAGGCTGCTGCCTTCTCTTTGTTCGGCACTGTTCCATTACTGCCAGCTCCATCCGTGTCATTCATTAAATGAGGGTCAGTGCGAGGAGATCAGGCACTACGAGCAAATACAATCGGTGATATGCTCATCAGATCATCAGTCAGCCGCTAGATTAATGCTTTTCTTTAATTAGCAAAAGCATCAAAGCACGACTCAAATGGCACAAACTAATCATTAAAAATGAGAAGAGAATGAATCCCAGGCGCACTCTTGTTTTAATGTTTTTTAGTTTTTTTTGGGTGGGCGTTTATGTAGCTTGTTCGTGCCCATTAAGAATATGTTTCGTGTGTGTATTATCAGGGAACAAGCCATCAGTTGTCACTGTTCGGTTAATTGTTTACGGTGCCTTGTCTATGAAGGTAGGCGTTCTGGAATAACTGCACATGCTGGTAATGTCAGCTTTCAGGAGGGTGATAGGATGAAGAGTTAACGCTTGCAGTCTTTTCTGGGTCGACACTTGAAGACGCTTTTACCATGCAATTTTTTATTTAGTGCCTTAACCTCTGTTTACAAAGCTACGTATTTTGAAACATGCCATGACACTCACTCACTCACTCTCTCTCTCTCTCTCTCTCTCTTTAAAAACTAACAGCACACACATATTACTGCAATACTTCCAAGAGCCTCACACTGTTCTCTCTCTCTCTCTCACTCTCTCTCTCTATATATATATATATATATATATATATATATATATATATATATATTATATATATATATATATATCATGATTTTAAAAAAGCAGCTTCTTCATTTGGAAATTATTTATCTTCGAAAATGATATTGTTGCACCCATAAAAAAATAGCGATACAAGTGTATGAATAATGACGAAACGCTTTTATTTAAAAAATGGAACAAAATACTCTTTTAGGTTATGACTCTCATAGCTATTTATTGAGATTCCTAGCTATGTGCAAGAAAATGGAGCATTATTGGGCCGGCCATGTGGTATATTAAACACCCTGATCCTTTCTTCTCAAAGCTCCTGACCTCGTTCCTTAAATCACACTTTTGGCTTTCTAAAGGAACGCTTTGAAAGGCAGGGATTTGAATGACAGGTGCTAATGGAGTCAGAGGTTACAGGCAAGTGCATTAGGGCTTTCTGCTCATGCTGACCCCTGCCACACTTTCTGTCAGAGCTGAAGGGCAGCATGATGCATTTCTGCTGCTCGATATGCTTGAGTGACCGGTGCTCTCCACGGATGTCACCCCCACCTCCCCAGCCCAAAACTACATACTATACATTAATACTGTGGTCACTAGACACCTTTCGGTTGATTAAAGCAGCGTTTTCACACAGTTAGTTAAAGTTGTTCTCATTAATGACCATGTTGGTGTGCACAAAAATCAGCTAAGCTTGGCACAACATCCGCTAAATGATGTCTTCGGTACAAACATTGCCATCCAAGTGAAGCCTGACATGCCACATACAATTAATTATTGCATTTCATTGGACACACACACACACACACACACATTGATATGCCTCATGCAAGTCATTATCCTGTTACAAACCACATTTACACATATACGTGGTACATATTTGTAATTACTGTCAAGCATAATGTGACACACACACACACACACACATATACACACACACACACACACATACTCTAGTAAAAGCAGCTACATGACTAATGATCATTCTCAAATCCTGACATGAGATAAATTTGGTGTTTTTCTTGAGAGAAATTCATCAGTTCTGGCACATCCGCTGTAATAGTCTTTTAATGCTCAAATCAGCAGCCATTTCTGTCAGAGGAAATTCCTCCCTTGAGCCTTTGCAACTGGTTGGCAAGTAAAATATCATCCTATTATGTGGCTCTTTTTCATAGGGAGACATAAAGGAAACTTGTTTTACTCGTCATTAGCTAGCATTTGCATTTATTGCCTATTTATTTTACCATTAAATGTATTTTCTTTCTTTATGTTCTTTGTAAGTGTTTTTATGGGGTATACAGAAAGTACGCATTCTTGCATCCCATCTGTGCTATTTAAATGTTTTTTAACCTTTTTGCACATTGTTTGGCCAATGTTTTCCCCCCATTTTTCTTGCAGTTTCTCACTGTTTCTGTGCATTTGTCTTGTTTTTGTAGGGAATCCACGTACAGACTGACATGGACTTTACAGCTGAGGTCACCTGCAACAACAAATCTGGCCCTTTCAGTGTCAAGTAAGAAAACTCTGTGTGTGTGTGTGTGTGTGTGTGTGTGTGTGTGTGTGATTGTTTGGCCAATGTTTTCCCCCCATTTTTCTTGCAGTTTCTCACTGTTTCTGTGCATTTGTCTTGTTTTTGTAGGGAATCCACGTACAGACTGACATGGACTTTACAGCTGAGGTCACCTGCAACAACAAATCTGGCCCTTTCAGTGTCAAGTAAGAAAACTCTGTGTGTGTGTGTGTGTGTGTGTGTGTGTGTGTGTGTGTGTGTGTGTGTGTGTGTGTGTGTGTGTGTGTGTGTGTGGGGGGGGGGGGG